AGGCTAAATGACCAAAAAGAACGTAATCCTGTAATCTGCTCATAGTTTATGGAATTTACCTGCCAACACAGAACCACACCATCCCTACTCCGAGGCTTTTCTGTGTTGGCAACTACAACCTCTTTGGCCAATCTGGGTCTCTCTCAGGTTGTGACGAGCCCTATGTGAAACAAAGAACATACCTTAGACTCAGTTTTTCACAGTAAACCTTTGAGGGAAGGTCTGGTTTGGAGGCTGGAAGTTTAGCCTATACTATGATATGACCACTGTCTCCTCAAGGTGCAGGTGACTGTGTTACCAGTCAGACTCCTCCTCCCGCTGACGAGCAGTTTATAGTTTAAAGAGCCAGAAACACCCCTCTGTACATCACCCCAGTACCTTTAATGCAGGGCACTGCTTGGACCAAAATGGATGCCAGACAGGCAAAGGTCTGTGAAAGCAGTTTTCAAGGTATGAATCAGAGCAGCTGGCTGGCTACTACCTCCTCCTTGCCCTGGAGAAATGCATGACTTAGAACAATGGGTCACCCAGGACCACTGTTCCCTCTAAGCTAAGTTATGTGAGCTAGCTCACCCCTTTTTAGCTTCCGGCTCACACATTTTGTCTTTGTTCAGGAAGGATGGCTCCAGAGCAAACTAATTTATGCAGTAGCCATATCGCTTGCTCGTAACTTTAATGCCAGTAGCTCACAAAGTAGAATTTTTACTCACAAGACTCCACAGCTCCACTCCCTTCCACACCGAAGCCTGACTTCCCCTTCACTCATCACCCTTGATTAAGTGGCAATTAATCAACAGTTAAGTGTATTCACCTTCCCTATCACCCTTCCCATCCAGTGCTTTTAGGGCCATCAAACCTCACCCACCCTTTTGTCCACTTCTGGAATAACAATCAAGTCATTGTCCTCTGGCGGTATGTCAACCTGCCTCAGGATACATTTTTTCCTATAAATATGTCATCCTGCTGCCCCAGCAGTATGTGTGCGTGCTCTTGGATTCTCCTCACTCCCCCACTTGTGTGAGGGTCCTCTCTCTCTGTTCTTGAAACACTGGCCTTTTCCTCTTCGACTCTGCTGTTTCCATGGACCTCTTAAAGATTAGTAATTATCACCCATCTGTGTAATGCTTTCCCCTTTCTTCCCTGATCTTCCTAGTTAGCTCTTATATGTGTGCACCCTTGTTTGTTTTTCTGTTTTTGTTCCAATAAAAACCTTTCCCAATAAATAATAGCCTGGTTATTTCTGAGAGTTCTCGCAGGGACAAATCCCCATATACATAGGTGGAGATCCCAGTTACCTGCCTTTCGTTTCATCTCCAAGCTAATTTTCCCAAACTAAGTGGAGACTACCTATTTTGGGTAACACCTGTGGTGCTGACACTCTGCAGGGACAAGTAGCCAGTTAAAATGGACCACCCATTGTGGAGGGTTAGGCTTCCAACTGGTTTCCAGAATGACTTGGGAGATCTCAAATGACAGCTCTGTTGAAGCAACAGTGAGAGCTTGGAATGCAAAGCTCTTGGAAGCTATTGATATGGTTGCCCTCATGGACTTCTCACATGCTTGAGATGCAATCCAATCCAACTCCTTGGTTTACTATAGAGCTGGGTGGTTTCAAGAGATCCAGGAGATGTCTAGCACAGCATTGGTGGAAGACACAAACTGAATCTAACAGTGTGTATAATAGAGTTCATGGAAAGATCTATGAGGCAGTAATACCAAAGAGATTCTACTTCTGTTACCATTACACCAGCTAGTGCATGCCCAGGTCAGTAGTTTTGGCATTTATTGTCTCAAAAGTCTGAATTTTTAAATTATCAGGAACTGATGATTAGTTGGGACTCTTTTGCAAAGTTGTGTTTTTGAGTTCGTTTGCTGAGAAAATCTTTCAAATGTGTTCTGATTTGGATGCTTGTTGTAACATAGCCGAGACACTAGATATATGTGAGCTGCAGCGCACCATTTGGGTGCATTTATGGATCATTCCAAGCTGGTGGCTGTCCACCAGCACTTGTACTCTTGATCCTTGTCCATTCTGGTTACTAATGAGTCCCTGATGTCCATCATATACCAATCACAGACTTGGGGTGCCTCCCTTGGTCACTAAAACAGGTGGGCATCTTACAAAATCATCACTAGAGAAGAATGATGTGAGCAATTATCACCCAGTATCTGTTTTGCCCTTTCTGGGCAAGATGAAACAGAGAGTGGTGGTAATACACCACCAGGTCGTTCAGGATATTTGCTCTTTCCATCTCGCTTCAAGCCATGCCATGGATGGGAAGGAGACGGTGCTAGTGACTTTAACTGATTACCTCCATTTGAAAGTCGATATATTTTGTTATTCTTACCTCTTTGTTATTCTTACCTCCGAGTAAACTATTTAGACTTCAGCTGCGATTCAAAGCATACATGCTTGGGGGTAAACTCCGCTGAGCACAGCGGGGCTTGCTTGTTCCTGCAAAACGCACATCGTCTAACGGCTGTTAAGACTGCAATCCTCGGGTACAATGTGGGACGAACTCAACTCAGTGGGGTTTACTAGTAAGTATGCATCAGAGGCGGACCTGAGCAAACACGCACGTTGCGCCTAGACGCAGGAAGAGTCATGCCCTAGTTTCAGTTTCTGTGCGTTTTAAGCCACAAGCCGCAGTGAACACCCGGAATCCAGGCAGTGTCAGAAACGCTTAATTCCGCAAAGGATCACGCTCTAGTTGCACGCCTCCCCCCCCCCCGTTTGTATTCTGCCTTGTCCGTGGTCCACCCCACCCCCAGGAAGCGCCAGCGCGTCCTCTCTCTGAGCGTCGGCCGAACGAACCCTGCACGTGCTCAGAGAGTTTCCTACTCAGCCCCTTCCAAAGGAGAAGCGGAAGGGGGAAGGCAAAAGGAACGCTGCGGCTTGTCCGGCAGTTGCCTCAGGAACCGCCAGGGGGTGCGCGTCGGGAAGTGCGTCGGTAAAAGCCGGTTGACACCACAGAAAGCTGGAGCAGCCTCGAGAGAAGGGGGGGTGGGAGAGTCGCGATGGCTCATGGCAACCCTGTGGTGAGGGAGGGAAGTAGAAGGAGGGAGGGCAGAGAAGGAGTAAACTCAGCCTGGAGAAGGGGTGTGTGTGTGTGGGTTGCCGCTTAGCCTCAAGAATAAGCTATCTGGAGCAAGCGTTGCCACGAGATATGGGACGCAGCGTTTGTGTTGCCCACTCTGGGGTGGCCTCTCTCTCTGTGACCTCCACCCGTTGTCTAGTGGTATGGTAGATTTGAAGCTCTCGTGAAATAACCGGGAGAGTTGCCCTTGGGTGAGCTCCCAAGTCCCCCTCCCCATCAAGTATAATGCTGCAGATAGAAAGCGTTAGAAGGGGTGTATATTTGCAGTGAGATGCATGCAAGTTCTGTGAGCTTTAAGACTGATCTGAAGTGTTTTCTCTGGACTTTTACTGGTTGAGGGGTATGATAGCAAAAGCTGAAAGGTGTCAATACCTAGTATATGCTTCTTGAGTGTTCAGAGCACTTTCTATGTGTGGTCTCTGGCTCTCTTGTTGTTCCACATTCTGAGGGCTGAGAGGTGGAATTGATACATGCCATTTGAAGTGTTTTTCTGCTCATTCTCCTTTTGTAGATACACGTGTGAAAAATGATTTTTTTAAACTGTGCTTGTCCTGGGTTTCTGAATCTGCTGTGTTTTGACCTTTCTGAACTTTTACAGTGCACATGTAACTTCAGTCATAGAGGTTTCTTTTAAACCACCTTAGTGAGTTTGTGGTGGCTTGATGTGAAACAAAGAGTTTCTACTTAAACCTCTGGCCCCTTTGCCATGCCAGTTCTAAATATCAAGTGCAATGGAAGAAGCATCTGATATGTGTTTTTCATTCTGTGACAGTACAACTCAGAGACCTGCCTGCTAACTGAAGAAACACCCTTAGCTTCAGTCAGTCAAAAGGCTATCACCCTTTAGTGTCAACTTTCTACCATAGTGCCAGCTTTTACTTTGTTGATGCTACCTATATTGGAATTAAAAACAAAACTCTTGTCTAGAGCATAGTTTGAAAGCTTTTCCTATTTCAAGAAATGTTTTGTGGGCAACAGCTGAAAAAGCATCACATTAAGCTTCTGATGAAAGAAGTTTAGGATGCTTTCAGAGTAAATAATTGGAGAAAAGTCTCTTAATTTTTTTAAAAATGAGTTTTGATGTGTGCTCAGGAGGGCTCCAAAGGGTAGTGTTTAAAGCACATTCAGACTAGAAACACATCTAAAACACATTCAAAGTTGATGAGAGAGTGAGAGACCATCCTTATTTTCTGAAAAATGTGAAATGGTATAGTTTGTAGCACTTGCCATGTTCTTAAAATGTGCGGAACAAATTTTGAGTCCAGTGGCACATTGCTTCAGACCAACACAACTATTGCTTCGGCCTAATAGCTATTGCTTCTGACCAACACAGCTACCCACCTGAATCTATCTTAAAATGTGTATATGTCTTATAACCATGTCTGTTTAATGTTAAAGGTTAAAACTAACTTCCTTCTATAGTAGCAGTGGTGTTAAAGAGATATTTATTCAGCCACTTCTTCAGCTTCTGAGATTTCAGTAGTCATTGTCCATCTGCTTTTTAAAGCATCTATATGTACACCCTTAAGGGCTAGTAGCTTGCTTACTTTTTTTTGTGTGTAAAAAAAAGCTGATATTCTTGAGAACCCAAAATTTTACTCCCACATTCTGTGTCCGCCCCCCTGAATCACAGCATTCATTCAGCCCCCCTTCTAACTTTTTTTTTTGGCAATTTATATGTTGCACAGCCTAAGTTCTACAAATCAGTTATTGGCGACGTGATTGATGGCGTCCGAGATGTCTTTGCAGAAGAAGGTGTAGATGAACGGGTCTTGAAAGAGCTGAAGCGGGTCAGTAGAATGGCTATCTGGAATGCTTGTCTGTGCTCTCTTATCTCGCCCTTCATTTGTACCTTGCCAGGAATGGTGGTTTATATGTCCATCTTCTGCAGTGCTGGCTAGATGCTGACATTTGCCATTGCTTATTTGTGTCACAGTGGAGGATTCTAACAACTAGCTACATCTATTTCAATATGCGACAATGAGGAGCAGAATCTTGCCCTGAAATTAAAAATGCAATTTTTGCAGTGAGCAGCTGTTAACCCACTCATAGTTCAAATCCCCATGCTCACAATTGCAACCCCGCAGATTATTCCTACCAGGTTAGGAAAGTTGTGGTAGAGTCTGAGGAGGGGGCAGTTTTTGGGGGTGGGAGAGGCCTCAGATATAATGCCTCACCCTTCTCTAGGGGAACTAGGGCTTGCCAACCTCCAGATCACCCAAAAGTATACCTGCTCTCCAGATGGCAGAGATCAGTTCCCCTGGAGAAAATGATTGCTATGGAGAGTGGACCCTGCTGTGTTCACTTCCTTCTCCAAACCTCACCCTCCCAAAGCTCCATCCCCAAAGCTCCAGAAATTTCCCAGCTTGGCGCTGGAAACCCTAAGGGGAACTGATCTCTGTAGTTGGGAGATCTGTTTTGATTCCAGGAGCTGGCAACCGTAGGAGAGAAGGAAGCAGGAAAAGGGGGAAGGCTATGGGAGCTTTTGGGAAAAGGAAAGAAGAAATAGTGGGGGGGAAGGGAAATGAGATGCCTCCCACAAGTCCTTGCAGGTTCCCAGTTGTGTCTTTGTAATGTGTGTTTGTGCACGTGTACAGAAGCAAGCAGGCAGTACAACTTCTCTAAGCAGATAATATAACTGCTAATCTTGCCCTAGATTGCCAAAGAGCAGCTGCTGCACCCCCCCACCAGGTTTTTATGCTAATTATGTTTTTAAAAACCCGGCATGCTGAAGGCCTAACATTTTGGGAATTCTGTGTATGAAGCTCCCAGTGTTTTTATCAGGTACGCAGGGTTCCATTTTGGACCAGGAGGACCACAGCATGAGGGAAAGGGGCTGAAAAGCCCTCCCCCAACCAGAAATGTCCTCGGGAAGCACTATAGGAGCAAATAGCAATTTTTGATCAGCAATATAGTGTGTGGGGTGTGTGGCTTAACAGCTCTCACATCATGGTCCCAATCCATATTGAGCCCCATGACATCTGCTAAGTGAGCTTTTCAAAAACTCAGGGAGTTCCATACACAGAACTGCCAACATATTGTGTACTTATGCCCTCTCTTTGTTCAAATTTAAAATTCCTCTCCTCTTGCAGAGTGCTATTATCTTGGATCCCACTCGGTAGGTAAATTACCAATTAAGTAAACATGAAGCCCCTTTCTAAAAGTCCCTGATAGGTGACACTGATCAGCCCCAACAAGGCCCAATCAAGATACTGAGGCAGCCAAACTTGCTATGTACATAAAACCCAGGCAATTTCTTTCCATGTCCTTCTCTTGCAGCGCTGGGAAACCAAAGTGATGCAGTCCAAAGCGACAGAAGGCTTCTTCAGACGCAGCCATCTTTCACCCCAGTTCACGCTGCATCTGCCTCAAAACGTCCCTCAACCCCTACAAACGTCAGCAGGTCACTGGCTGGTCTTTTGCAGCAATACTTTGGGAGCAGAGAATGATCTTTACTTTCCTGGGGAGGGGTGTGTGTCTAGGAATGTAGGGCTGCAATTCAGGGGCAAGGCATACTGAAGGCTGCTGGTAAGGGTTAAAGTTGCTGCCTCTTGAAATAAAATTTGGGGTCCTGTATGGAGTCAAGGAGCAAAGCTATTTGCATCAGGAATATAACCCAGAATAGGACTTGAGTAGAGATTTTAAAATCCAAGCCTCCCAGGTCCAGTTGTAAACTAGTAAGCATTGCTGGCTCTTGAATCATAGGTGCTCCCTGGACATACCTATAATAAAAGACTTTGAGTTCCCGTTTCGCAGTGAAGCCTGGGAACTGTAGTTCAGTGAAGGGTTGGTGGGCTAATGATATGTAACAAATTTTTAGCATCCCAACGAAACTGCAATTCCCAGGATTCTTTTGGGGAAGCTGTGATAGTTATGTTAGTTAAACTGCTACAAAGCAGCTATCTGTATGTGTCCCTAAGATTAAGCTTGGCTTTCTGGTGGTCTAATATGATAGGAATATTAACTCCATCATCGGTACTATTCATTCCCTATTAGCAGAAAACAAGAAAAAGAAGAAGAGATTGGATTTATACGCCGCCCTTCACTATCCAAAGGAGTCTCAGAGCGGTTTACAATCTCCTTTCCCTTCCCCTCCCCACAACAGACACCCTGTGAGGTAGGTGGGGCTGAGAGAGCTCTTTCGAGGACTGCCCTTGAGAGAACAGCTCTCAGAGAACTTGTGACTACCCAAGGTCACACCAGCAGCTGTATGTGGAGAAGTGGGGAATCAAACCTGGTTCTCCCAAATTAGAGTCTGTGCACCTAACCACTACACCAAAAAGACTTTCTGCCCACAACCAACAGAGAACATTACACAGTTCCTTTGCCACTGGTGACTTGCATATAAAAAGACCTGTTTTTTATTTTTATCTCATCCTTCTTCCAATAAATTTTGAGTAGCATGTATGATTCTTCCTCCCTGTCTTCTTTTTATTCTTACAGCAACCTTGTAAAGTAGTCCTGGCCCAGGATAACCCAGTGAGCTTCATTACAAAGTGGAGGGTTGAACACAGGTCTGCTTGGTCATGATTAGACACAGTGTTGTAGTCCAGGGGTAGGCAGCCCTTGGCGCTCATGTCAGATGGTGTCATGCTAGACTGTTTTGCCCATCACACAAGGCTGGTTCTTTACTCAAGTAACCAGGGCAAACTTTGAAACACTGGCAGTTGCCTTCCAGACCTACACTACTACCAGCTGAGTCCAGCAAGTGCTTGAGGTGCTGGCAGCACTACTTGGGCTTGGCTTGCTTCCAGTGTAGCTAGCCAAGTACTATACTCTCCCCTCCCCCATCTGTTTATCAGCGTGCCATCTTCACAGGTAGACGAGATTTCCCCCCCAGCTCTTGCCTACCCTCTTCTAGTTTACAAGTCCTGCAGATGTGATGAAAGAATAAATCAATGGAAAAGTTACTTGAGCTGTTCTCTTACTTCAAAGCTCATGTCTCCAGTAGCAACCAGTCTTGTCTCTTGGTTTTGTCAGTGCCAAATGGGCACCTATGTACATTGAGGCAATCGACATCTGAGATCTGTATTGATTTCCCTGACAGCAATACAGAAGTACATTTAATGATATTTGTTTAGGTGTGGCTGCTGGCAGAGGTATTCGACAGCCTAGTACAACCACCACAGCGGAACTGGTATGTGTGTGCAATATTACTTTATAACTTTTATGTCATATATTACAAAAGCAAAACAACAAAAAATCATCAGGTGTTATTTGTATCAACTTTTTTTGTCAGCTCAAGAAACAAGGATTCTTAACACCAGTAATAGTAAAGTCAGTACAGTGGCCAGTTAGTAAAAGAGTTTAACATCTGTTCTGGTAAAGTGACATTTATGATACATTGGCTGCACTCCCATTTATTTATTCTGTTAAAATATTTGTATAAATATCTGGGAGGTAAGTTATAACTGTACAAGGAAGAGTAAATCTGGTTCTTGTTTTGCCACAACAGGCCCTAACAGGGCTCCGATGTTTAGGGAGGGGGATCTAGAAGAACCCTAACCCAGGGAGAATGAAAGTCTCTTTGCCCTGGCACCTAAAACTTGTAGATTCATTGCCAGGAAAGCTTCTGTAGGAAGGGAGTTCCAGAGCTCAGATGCCTCTGTGGAAAAGCCCCCGGCCCTGGTGCTCAGTCTGAGCCAAACCCAGATGTACTCTGGCAGTTCTGGGCTAGGAGCTTCTGGCAGTCTAAAACGCTTTATTTTCAGGTGCACGGGGGCCTGATTCAGATTGGGATTGTGGCACAGTCGAAGGGGGTTTTAAGCCTCCCTGCACCATTTTTCCAACTGAAAATGGGTTTGAGGAGCCGCTCTTTCCCCCCCATTGGGATTATCATATGGGGACTGATATTTTGACGGGAAACATCGCCTCTCTAGGGCTGTTTCAGGCCTGTAAACAGTGCTGAGGGGGACTTAAGCTCCCTCTCCCCATGTGCCTTGGCTCCAGTCTAGTTCAGACTCCCTTCTATTGTGTGCCTGAAAATTAAATTTAAAAAAATCACTGGGATCTCTGAACACAGAACTCCAGCACACATCTGGCTTGGCTCTATACAGAGTCAGGCTTCTGACAAAGACCATATACAGGAGGAAGTTCTCCTTTGGGGACCCTGGTCCCAGTTAGTGAAAAGCTTGATAGGCAGTAACCTTCGCTTTATGTTTACTGACAGTCTTGCTGCGCTCAGTTAGGCTTAATTTTGTGTAAGCCTTCTTAAAATTGTACAGTTAGCATCTCTTTCTGAACAGCATATCCATGGGGCTATGGATACTCTTCTGTACTTTACACATCCTTGCATACCTGCAAGCTCCACTCCTGACCTACCACTATTAATTATTCTGAAGAGATTCTGTACGTTATATGTACTGAGCTGGGATTCAGTTCTGAATTTCGTATTTTAACGTGGGTGACAAGGGATGCTCATTATGTTAGAAATATTCACTTCACCAACTTTCTTAATACTGAAGATGTGTTAGCTGTGTTAGTCTGTCTTAGCAGTAGAAAAGAGTAAAAGTCCAGTAGCACCTTAAAGACTAACAACATTTGTGGTAGGGTATGAGCTTTCGTGACTCACTGCTAACTTCTTCAGTCTTTAAGGTCTTACTCTTTTCTTAATATTGTGGATATAAACTACTTGCAGCATTGTTAATGATCAAAAGAGTCCACACTTCTATTTTACCTTGTTGAAGGGTTGAAGTGCCATTTACAGTTTCTTAACCTTCAACCTAATACATTATATGATATCAGTACTGGGCATGTCAAGGCCATCTGAGAGCCTGGCCGAAATGAGTAATATTTGGGCAGGTGTGTGATTCTTTCACTGGGCTCGCTTGACATTTTTATTAGTGTAATGGAAGTGTAACTTGGAATATGTTTGATGGCTGCTGCTCAGTGACTGAAGGACTATTTCAAGGTCCTGTAAAGTGTGGAAGGGTATGCATGGGACTGCAGGTATTCCATCATTCCAAAGCCAAGCTGCCCAAGTGTTATTGGGAGTGGGATGGTATTTGACAATTGAAGAAAGGTCAGTTTGTGCTTGAAATCCCCTGTGGAGCAGCTGTTGGCTCCATTGTGAAACCTATGTGTAGCCCCCCCAAGTAATGCGATTTTTACAAGAAGCAACAGTAGCTCCATGAGGTAGATTGCAAATGCAAAAACAGTAGATGGAGAGGCTAAATTGGCTTCTCCCTGCCTGCTTTGGTTGCAAACAGAAAGAACCAGTGTGCATCTGGGAGGAACAGAACTCCTGTAGAATGTGTGTGATGCAAAGTCCTTGTGTTGTTACCCAGAAAACATGAGGACTTTGTAATGTGTAGATGGAACCTCAGATACATTGCCTTTTCTAGTCATTTGTTTCCCCTTGTCTAGCAGAACAGAGGCAGAATGTGTTGTTAGCATGCATCAGAGTTGAAATATAAGAGCCACTGTACATGTGTTCCATCAGGTATCGCCCAACTGTCTTTTAACATGTAGCCATGACGCCACTTGTTCATCTTCCTGGCATTATTCCACATGTTTGTGCTTCCCACTTGATCACCTGAATGTCTGACAGCACATCCACATGTTCAGCTGGTTATGATTCTATTTACATGCTGTTGTTTCTTCACCCACTTTGATGGCACAGGTGTAAAGCCTGTGGCCAGGGAGCATGGAATGAAGAAGAACAGAAGCTTTTTATACCCCACTTTTCTCTATCTTAAGGAGTTTCATAGCAGCGTACAATCACCTTCCCTTCCTCTCCCCATAACAGACACCTTGTGAGGTAGGTGGGGCTGAGAGTTCTGAGAGAACTGTGATTGGCCCAAGGTCACTCGGCTGGCTTCACGTGGTGGAGGAGAGGGGAATCAAACCGTTTCTCTAGATTAGAGTCTGCTACTCTTAACCACTACACCATGCTGGCTCTCCACTTAACCTACTATACCATGATGGAGTGATAGCACATGTGATTGCAGCAGTGATTGCACAGCAGAGCAGGGTAAGAAACACAGGGGGAATCCCAAGCACTCAAACTCATATTCTGTGTCACTTAACAGTTTGATTCTTAGATTTTGATTTTGCCCTTCTGCCAAGGAGCTCATGGTTCTCATTTCCTCAATCTATTCTAACAACCACATTATAATGCACATTAGACTGAGTAAGAGTGTGGCCCAGTTCTCTTCTGACACTCTAGCTCAGGGGTGTTGAACTCATTTGTTATGAGGGCCGGATCTGACATAAATGAGACCTTGTTGGGCCAGGCCATGAGTGTCATAAAATGTAATGCCAGGTAGCGAAGATATAAACTTTGTAAAGTACACAAACACAATTAAAGATTTTTTAAAACTTTAAATAAACATGCTTAAAATACTAGTACTCTTGCAATATTTTGTCTATTTAACAGTCTCTGATAACTGACACCTCTTGCTCTGAATTATTGCATCAAAATGTCTGTGCTGTAGCAATCTTGAGTATGCTGTTCAGGTGTGTATCTGTAAGTTGCAAACCTACTTTTGATTTAATGACACTCATTACAGAAATCTCATGTTCAGTGTTCTGAAATGCCCAGCCATTTATGAAAACATGAAATGGCTGGGCACTGCAAGCTTTTGTACATAAGTTGCTTCATGTGCTGGCCAAGAACATGAGAAGGCATCCTAACAGGCTGAGGGCCATGTGTTTGTCTACAAAACTATAGTCTTCCTCAGAGAAATAACTACAACTTCCTACAAAGGAAATGTGCTGGGTGAGCTTGGTCCGGACACACACTCTCAGCCTAATTCACCTCACTGGTTTGTTATTCCTCCTCTAAAATAGTTCACATTGCTTTCTTACTGAGATAGAGGATGAGGGCATGAATACAGTGAAAAGGGGGAGGGAATCCAGTTGCAACCAGGAGAGCCCTGGTATAAAGAGCCCAACAAAACACACACATAACTGTAGCAAGGCACACAAAAGCTCATACCCTGAACAAAACTTCGTTGGTCTTAAAGGTGCTTGGTATTTCTCTCGTGAGACTGAGGCAGCCCAGCAAAGCAAGCTCTCCCTTGTTTCCTCCCTCCCTTCTTTCAGGGAGGAGCCTTAGCTAGTGGAAGGAAAGAAAGGCTTCCCTTTGTCTCGTGCAGCCTGGCCAGGAAGCAAGGTCTAGCTGTTCCATCCCTCTCCCTGGGAGGAGGAGGGGGAGGAGCCTCAGCCAGTTCTTTACCAGACCCAATCGCACAGGAGAGGCTTGCCTATCTATCCTGTGCGATTGAGGGAGACTGGTAAAGCAAGTTGTGGTATGGCGGCAGCAGAACTGGAAAACAAAGCAGGAAACAGCCAGGTCCTTGCGGGCTGGATTGGGGGCCCCTGAGGACCTGATCCAGCCCATGGGCCGCATGTTTGACACCCCTGCTGTAGTTATTACAGCATTCTGGTTGGTGTCAGATATACTCCAGTTTGCAGAATTGCAGGATGCAGTTTCAGTTTTCAGAGTGCTTTGGACACATTATCCTTGTAGTCCTTGCAGTAGCCCTGTGAGGTAGACCAGTATTATCCCATACTGCTGGTGAGAGACTGACAGTGTTGTTCATGGCATATGCAGAGTTACTCCAGGGTAACCCCATTGAAATTAATAGGATTGCGCTGTATCCCACTATGGTATTAATACAGACAACAGTGTGAGAGAGGGTGGCTTGCCAAAAGCAACCTTGTGAGCTCATGGCTGAGATGAGACAACCTCCCAGATTACAGCTCATGTGTGGGGAGGTGCTGAGGTATACCAATCTCCCCCCCCCCATTTTTTTAAAAAGTGCAAATTAAATACGGCTGTTGGCATAGAAAAGAATGTTCCTCATGGGTCTCCGGTCATTCTAGGCCTCTTCCAGGGCTGGCGGTGCAATCTTGTCTCTTCCTTCAGGACTTGCTTATCCTATCCAAATCCCTGCTGGAGTGACTCTGCAGACAGCATCAGGTAAGGCCAATGTAGTTTATGCAGCACAGGCCTGACTCAAACTGCTGAGCCACACCAAGCAGTTGCGTGGGTAGAGAATTCTCCTTGTGTGTTTTGAAAAGGTGGTTGGTGCCCTTTGAGAATGCATGAGGAAGTACTGATTCTTGTACTTGGGAGACACATACACAAACACCAATTTCTAAATGGGTTTAGGTAACAGAAGAGGCATGCAAGAGAACAGCAGCTCTGCACTTGAAATGCATTAGGTTAACTAATTAATATATGCACACTTCTTGTTCATAAGCTGTCCCATTACACCTTTTTGAGATAATCTCCTGGCTTGTTTTACCTCTTCTTCTCTCAGGTTCAAGATTAAACTGGATAGAACTTGGCTGAAGGGAAGAGGCCAAGTGGTGGTTTGATCTTAAGTGGGCCCGTGGAGGGAGCTTGCCTGCCTCTTGCAACCCTGATTGCCCCCTTAGTCTTTACTCGCTATTTCTTGTTTCTTCCAGGGCAGTTGTATAAAGTCAACATGCCTGTGGTGGTCACCCAGGCCCCAGGAGGTGGGACTGTCCTCCAGAATCCTGTTCAGCAAATACTTCAGCAGCTTGGGCAGCAGCCCTCGCAACCACAGACCACTGCTGCCAGTGCCACCCAGGTGAACAGCTTATCAGTTCAAGTGTCTGGGAACGAAAGTCTGCAGGTTCAGAAGAAGCCCTTTGCTCCCCAGCAAATGGGGCCAGAAGAGAAAACCTTGCCCAGTGCTGCTGTTTTGCAGGACACTACTGAGCAACGAGAAGAAGTCATGGGCAGCGGGATGAGCCAGGAGCCTTCTAGCTTGTTGGAGAGTCCCCAGAATGCTGATATCCAAGCAGCTGTCCATGTTTCGAAGTCATCAGAAGCAGACTGTGCCAGAGTGGCTGCAGAGATGGCACCCAGCGGCTTTTCCAAGGAGAGAGAATTGCCTATGAATCCAGACCATCCGCTGGATGCTGATGATATAATTGAGCTGATAATTATGGGCAATGAATTGGATGACAGTGTCCTCCTGCGAGATGAAGCCACCCTCTCTTTTGCTGAAGAGGTAATTTCAGCATGTGTTTCCTGTTTGTTTAATTTTTTAAAATTAACTTCTTTCCCCCAGCTCTCTTGAGTTATCTGCCCTGAATTCAGTGCTTCTAGGAAGTAGGTTTTTTACTTGCTTCCCCACAGCACTGATGCATTTGTGCACCTCTGATTTTCTCCAGTCTTTCTCCAACCTAATTTGCGCTGAAGTTTTTGGGAAAGATCACAGTAAAGCCTTGATGGCTATGTGGGTGGATACATTTGGATATTCTGGACCATGTGATAGCCATTTTCCCTGACTGTTTCCCTGTGGCAGCCATTTTCCCCTGCCACGGGGGGCTTTTTATTATTTTTAAATCAGGAATAGAATATTACTATATCAATGTACCACTCTAATTATAGGTGTAGCAGGTTCTCTGAATTCCTAGCTTTCGTTTTAAAAAGTAAGTCTGTAGCCCCTTCCCTTGTGGAGATGGAAAGAAAAGGGCATATCTGCACAAGGAAAGGGGCTGCAGACTTTTAAAAATGAAAGCTGGGAGTTTAGAGAACCTTTTATTGTTACAGCAGTATATCAATATAACCTTTTTGTTCTGATTTTTTAAATTGCTAAAGCTCTTGTGGCATGGGTGAGGAGGGGGTGGTGGTGACTTCTGGAGGATTGGGGCAGGGAAACTGCAGGAAGACCTGCCACGTGGTGGCCCTGTTGCTGCTGTTCTTTATCTGCAGCTGCACCAGCAGTGGAGAAACCACAAGATCCCATCCTCATGTGAAGGACACCAGTGTTTGGGAAACCTTAGAAACATAACTTAAAAACATGGTAAAATCTAGCAAACTTAAAATGAGCTAAACCACTTCAACCGAACAGCAGCTGCAAGTCCTATCAGAATTAGAGGAGACAAGAAGGGGGGACCTGCGATACTTGTGTGTGGGGAGGAGTATTCCCCACGGCTCCTGCATACCCAGACTGCTGAAGCAGCAGGAGCCCTGCACAGAGGAAGAGACGGCCACAGGTGAGCTCAGCAGGCGGGGCTGCCTGGCCCACCCCGCCTCCACCAGGAGCCATGGCGGCAAGCTCTGCACAGCTCCCAGCCGTCGGGCCTGCCAAGGCTCCCCCCAGCGGCAATCGCAGCAACCCCTGTGTGGCTCTCAGCTGCCGGGCCCACTAAGATTTCTCCCCTGCCCCCAACACCAGCAACTGCCAGTTCCCAGTGGTAAGTGTGTTCTCTGCGCATGCGCAGGGAATGCTCTTTTACTTTGGGGGGGATTTAAGTATCCCCCGTATAGTTTTTTCAACATTTCAGATTTTTCTGCACACATGGGGAGTGCCCCAAGTGTGCAGGAAAATCTGTTTACCCTCAATGTGCTCCTGATGTGCGGATTTAGATATCCACGCAGAGGGGGCAACTTGGCTATTAGATATATAGATGAGTCCCTCTAAGTATTTATATTTATACTCGAGCATGCCTTTTCAATATAGCCACCCACAGATAAGGTAGGGGATTCTGCACACTTGGGACGACTACCCAGGTATGCATAAAAATATAAGTCCATAAATGTCTTTAAAATATCCCTTCCAAATGGCCTGATGAGGGCTAAGCATGTCCATGGCCTTGGAATGTTGAGAGACTGGATCTGTGAGTAGGCTTCTTATAGGTCCTGTTCTTGGGTTTAGCACTGTAAGGTTAATGTAGAGAAGCCTTGGAGTGCATCATTTTCATGAATAATTTTTTGTCTGAATTGGTCTTAAAAGTCTCTCCCCATGGGTGGAAGGATGCAGCACAGAAATGGCAAGTGGTAGAATCTTGGTAGGAAGAAACTGTTGTGTTTGCCAGGTCTTGCAAATCTGTCCTTTTTTTCATCCAGCTTGATAGCAGCATGCAGTTGGAGTCCAGTCTGAGGACTCAAAAGGATATCACCAGTGACCTTGAGGAGATCATTCAGTTGGATGGAACAAGCGATGTCTCTCCCAAGGCAGAAATAGAAAGCCCCAGAGATGGGGAAGATGAAGAGATCGTTGGCATTGTGGATGCAGAAGAGCTGAAAGTTCTGGATGAGGAAGAGGAGGAAGAAGTTGAAAACAGTACCTCGGACAATCCATCCCTTAGCAGCACGAGTGACACTGATGAACGGTCTGTGGACATCATTGAGGAGGTAAAGATTTTGATCCTGTTGAAAGTGACCTTGTCTTCACATAGGTTGATTAGGCCTTCGGAACTAAAATCCGTAATCTGCCCTGTTAAATTTTCGGTTGGGGGCAGGAGGAGTGTGCCCCTGACGTGGTGATGTCACCTGCTCCCAGCCGCTTTCTCCTGGGGAGGGGGATCCATATGGCCATTTACAGTGTTCAAGCCCACGGGGGTGTGGAGAGAACCAGGACGCCTGGCAGTGCATTCACAAGCCACCCTGCCTCTTCGGAAGCACCCTTCACTCTGCTATGACTGCCTGGCCCATGCCCTGGATCCAGAGGGGAATGGCACAGCTCCCCTTTCCTCATGCCCTTAAATGCCCCTTGAAATGGGGACTGGAGGGAGCCCTCTGCCCGTCTCTCCCCACACCAGTGCCCTGCTCCAAAACAGCTCCTGTGACTGGTTTTTCTTGCCACTGTATGGTTTTTTGCGGGCCGCCGGATGGTTTTTCTCGCCTGGCTCAGACCCACCACGTGCAACTCAAGTGGTCTGTCAGGCATCCTCCCAGGGTGGGGCTCATCAGTGGGGGGGGGGGCGTCACCCCCAAATGACCCCTGTGGCTACAGGTCTGTCTGTCATTTATGTTTAACTTACTGGGCCTAACTTGCTTGGGGGGAGTAGGTGGAGCCACTGTGATTGTGGCTTCAGCATGGTGGAACAACCTTGTTCGCAGCAGTCAAGCAGCTTGGGAGCATCTGCCCAGTGCTGTACTGCTACTGGGATGTGATTAGTGCGTTAACAGCCTATTGTTGGGAGTGGGTGTGTTTGGGGTGTGTCGTTTGATGGGATTATAAGCAGGGCTTTGGCCCTGCTGGAGTTGTCTTTTAGTTTGAGTTATGCACAATAAAGTATGAGCTCTACTGAATGCAGTTGAGGCATGATCCTGGTTACCTGTCTTGTGTAAGGGCTTAGAAAACCTGAAAGGGATTACCATGTTTCACTCCTTACAGAAATATTGTATGTGAAGTGCTTTTCTTTCAAATGAGATATAAATGCTGCACATTTAAAATAGTTAATTAAAAGATCTTAATATAGTAGAACTATGAACACATATATTAGAACTATGCACACTAGCTACTACGACTCAACTGATTTCTTAAACAATGCATTGCTTCTGGAAGACGGAGCAGTGGGGCTTGTGGCTCAGTGGTAGAGCATCTGCTTTGTATGCAGAAGGTCCCATGTTCTTTCTTCAGCCTTTCCAACTAAAAGGTATCCGATAAAAGGTGACATGCAATTCGTGGGCCTCAGAGCAGCGTTCGATATTGTTTCAAGAGGAAGACTATGGGCAAAGCTGGAAGACACATCAATGGATAAAAGGTTGTTACATTTGATAATTAAATTACATGCGGATAATAAGCTTCAAATAAGATATACACAGGATAGTAAATTATCCAATAAAATCCCAGTACAAAAGGGAGTCCTACAAGGTTGTCTGCTTGCACCTTTTTATTTAATATATATGTGAATCCTTTGATTCAGTGTCTGCATACAATGGATACCCATGCCCATCAGGAGGGAAAAAAGTGTCAGCCTTGATGTATGCAGATGATGTTGATCTTTTGTCACAAACTAAAGTTGGCCTAAAACGTGCCTAAAAATTTTTGTGATCAATGCAATATTGAATAGTTATTAATTAATTACTCAAAAACTAAAATTTTACACTTCAGTAGACGGTATAGGAAGGCTAACTGGAAAATCAAAGGTAACAGCATTGACCAGGTCAAAACCTTTCAGTATCTAGGAGTTGTTTTTACATACAATACTAGCTTTAAGACTCCTTCGATCACATCAGCAAATGCTGCAGAAAAAAGTGCTAGTGCTATCCTTAGATTTTTTAGGAAAGAGGGCTCAGGCTTTATACCTGCGGCTCTAAAATTATTCCAAGCAAAATCATTAACTCAGCTTTTATATGGGTCACATTTAACTGCTAATGTTAAGATCTTAGAAACTGTACAATCAAAATTTCTTAGGGCTTTGTTTAATGCACCTAGATGTACTTCCAACGTTATTTTAAGGTAAGGAACAGGCCTCCCCAAAGTAGAGCTAAAAATATGGGAATATGCAATTTATTTCTGGTTAAGGATACATCTGAATCCAAATGTTTTAATGCCCTATCTCTTGGCTGTTTAACCCTACCCCATATGGTCGACAAAGATAATTGATAAAGTTAGGATGATTGGTTTGAATCCAGAAGAGCTTTGTGATATGGGTTTGAATAAAGCAAAGGCCCTGGTATTACAAAGACTGAGTGACATTGAATCTCAAAACGATGAAGCAATGCTCCCATAAACTATAGCAGTTTGAAAACGTGGCCAAATTATACATCAGCTCCATATCTCTCAAATATCACGTGTTGACAGCCATAGATGGACCTTTTCAAGAGCACACTTTGATACATTTCCTTCTGCAGGACTATTCGGCAAATTTTCTCGGTTGCCACTGCAGAAGTAATATTGTCCCTGTTCTGGAAACGTGATTGAATCTGTTACACATATTCCCCTGCATTGTGAATTTTATCAAGAAGAAAGATTGCAATTAATTATTCCACTCCTCTCTAAATTCATACCACTGAAGTATTATATGAACTTTAGGTCTGAAGTACTCTGGAAATATCTCTTAGAAGATATGCAGAAATCTGTAACTTATGCAGTAGCAAAATTTTGTACTATAGCAATTAGAAAGTGGAAATGTTTGGAATTATCTTAATAATTTTTTTGAGCTCTAAGTTTTATGAGTATTAGATGGTTAGATTAGTGAGAGCCAGTTTGGTGAAGTGGTTAAGTGTGTAGACTCTAATCTGGGAGAACCGGGTTTGAATCCCCACTCCTCCACTTGCACCTGTTGATGTGACCTTGGGTCAGTCACAAGCTCTGGCACAGCTGTCCTTGAAAAAGAGCAGTTTGTGTCAGAGTTCTCTCAGCCCCACCCACCTTACAGGGTGTCTGTTGTGGGGAGGGGAAGGGAAAGGAGTTTGTAAGCCCCTCTGAAACTCCAAGTGAAGGGCGGGGTATAAATCCATTCTCTTCTTCTTTTGTTTTTATACTGGTTTTTGATCGTAATAAACATTGACTGACTGAGGTGAAATGCAAGACATTTACTTGAGCCTGAAGAGATGCTTGCCATCAGAGGAGGCGATATTAACTTCTAATAGTCCACCTCCATGTAAGGCAACTCCATGTGTTCAAGGTGCTTATTTCTGCGTTCTGGTGACTTTTCAGGGTGAATTCTGTGGCTGGGGATAACTATAGAGGCTATCCTTCTGTATGTCTTTACAGTCTTGATTGCATATGTGAGTGGCCATTTTTGTTCTGAAGCCAGTGCTTTGTGTCAGAGAGGTAGGCTTAGATATGGGACACCTGATCTCAAGTCCTGGCTCACTGTTTGGGCTCATCTGGTCAAGTCGTCTCAGGATGTGTCTGAACATATACAATTCAAGCTGTGCGCTCTTTGTGGAACTACATTTGCTCTGTTTTGATCAGATGGTTCCTTTCCCATGCAGCCATTACCTGAACCACAACCTTTATTTTGGTCACATGGCTCAGCTCCTCCAGTTTGGGTTTCAGGTTCAAAATCCTTCTGGTTGTGTTTTTGGTTACAGGATGCTTTTGGGGGGAGGCAATTGGTTCACAAAGCTTCTCCCCCACCAAACAAAAGTAACTGTAGGCCACTTTTGTCTATCTTCTTCTGTTGGAACAATCCACCTTACTATGTAGCTTTTGAAACTCTCCTTTTGGGGTACCTAGTAACGTACATCTTGACAGGAGTTAGAGAACAGTCCAGGGAGCAAAAACAGGGATGTTTGAAGGAAAATGTCCCTATTTTCGTAATCTGTATGATCTTCTTGGCTCTTCTGGTTGGTTTTTTATTATCCCAAATCTGCCCAGAGGTGCTTTGCACTGTGAGACCATGATTTTACAGTGCAAATATGTGCAGCTGTGGTGTTTCTAATGAGATGACGTTGCTAAAGAATGGATTTTCCCCATTCAGATCTTTCTTGCTTGACAAGATTCAATTTGCACCACTGACCATTCACTCCTGTTGTAAATGCCAAAACTGAAGATACAGTCTGTGTCTATATAGTGAGATTGATGAAAATTTGACTATTCATGTTCTTGGTGGTTGTGTTACTACAAAGGACATTAGTTTGGTCTTCAGCTAAAAATCAGAAAACTCCAATGGTGTTTTCCTGTTTTTTTTTCCCCCAGGACCCTTTAAATTCTGGAGATGATGTCAGTGAGCAAGAGACGCCAGATGTGTTTGATACTGATAATATAATTGTATGCCAGTATGACAAGGTACAGTAGAGAATATTTTCTAGCTTAACTGAAATCCTGTTCAGGTCCAGCCCTCCGTGAGAGTAAAACTTGCCATCTCATCAAAAGGCATTACATAGACACAAGCCTGGGTCTGCTCAGTGTACATGCCAAAAGAAGCTCCCTGTGCGATGCTGTATCTATTTTAGTGATGCCTAAAAATATTGGGAAAAAGAAGAATATGCTGTCAAATTGCAACAGATTTATGGCAATGCCATCCATGGAGCGTTCTGGGCAAGAGACAAGCAGAGGTGCCTTGCCATTGCCTGCCTCTGCATCACGACCCTGGACTTCCTTGGTGGTCGCCCATCCAAATAGTAACTAGGGCTGACCCTGCTTAGCTTCTAGGCTTGACAAGGTCAGGCTGAAGTTGGGCTATTCAGACTGCTAAAAAATAAGAAGTGGCTATAAAATTAGTTCAGCATATTAACATAAATTGCTATAGGATTTGTACATCCTTTGACAACTGTCCCTTAATTTGTATCTATTATGTTATATTCTTATGTTCAATGGGTTAACTAGAAGCTGCAGCACTCAGAAAGTGAAAAAAAGAGGCCATAGTGAATTTGGGGCTCTTGATTCTCATTTCTAATTCTCACACCTGTGGGATGATTGTAAAGTGGCAACATGGTTAATATTTGTGGTGGAACGGGCCTGCTCCAGCTTGCAGACCCTGTTCCATCCTGCCCTCCAATGTTTTCCCAACACCTGGAGAGGTTTTTCTTTCTCCCTTGTGTAACCACTGCCACCACATGAATTTTGTAGGGAATTGCCCGCTGAGAGGGTCAGGACTCCCAGCTTCCTTTTCAAGTTCTGAGGCCTTGCCTCAGTGTCACCCGCTTCCCAGCATCTGGTCACCATGTGGACAGTTTACTGCCTTGTGTGCCCCTGGAGGAATAGCTGCTTGCCAACTGACTGCCTTCCTCCGGCACTCCTTTTAAAATAGAGTGTCCAAGACGGTGGAGGTCTATGTGGTTCAGAGAACCACTATCAGCATCAAAAGTTATGAAGTATTTATTAAAGAGTAAATGTTCACAAGCATACTTTTAGCACAGCACCAGATTGAGCAAGGGATTAAAAAGAAATGGGTAAAACGCAATTTCTCTGTCTCTCTATACATGCCCTATCAGATGTTAAGATATAGGACAGGCTCCTTAGCTTAGGGTGTTATAGCTCTCTACAGAGTCCCTATTACCTTGCAGTTTCCTTCAGCTCTTCAGGCAAACACATGGTTAATGGCTGCCTTCTCCAGACCTCAGTTAAGAGTTCTGTCTGCTCTGATGGACTCAGCATGCAAAGAGAGCTTCCTCCTTGCTTTCTTGATGTTTTATCACCTCTCTTTTCCCCACCCACTGACCAAGTCAGGCCAGGTCAAAGAGGTTTTCCCCCCTGGAGATCTCCAGTTCCTTCCTTCCTGAAGTCTCTCTAGTGTTTAATTACTCCAAATCTCTGTTACCTGCTTGGAGGGGGGAGAGCTTGACTATCCAGTCATCTAGGTCTGGGAAACAATTCAACTGACTTCCTTCTTCCCAGGGGGGGGAGAGCTTGACTACCCCGTTGTCTAGGTCTGGAAAACAATTCAACTGACTTCCTTCTTCCCAGCCTATTCTCTGCCCAGAGAGAGAGAGAAAAAATCTTTTAAAACTCAAAGTGAAGGTTTTGCTCATTTCAAACCTTCAAAGAAAAAATGCATTTCTTCACAGTATTTCTGGTACACTGAGCTCTGGGGTTTCAGACAGTGAAAGGAAACAATGACATGATGTGGCTAAATATTGGGATTCCCTCTTTCTATAGACTAAGCTTATTGATTCAGGAAGTCTATCATACTTGCATTCCTTGGGGAAATGTTCAGTTTTGAGTCAACAGACTTGGGTAACCCTGATTAACATGTGAGCATGCCTTTAGGTAAAATTGTTGCTTGGTTATGACCAGGAAAGCTTTGAAGGATGGAAGAATAGAAAACCAAGTTGCCTCCAGCTGGGGCTCAACTACTCACGACGAGGTCAGAGATTCTGTGATTGGGGCTCCCAGCATTTTTCCCCTTTAGAAATCATGGTCCTTCCATTCCATTCAGTACCTGGTTGGGTGGGGGGGAGATTATGCATTCCCCTCCATGTTGTTTTCCCCAACTGAAATGGCCCTGGAGGGCTGCTCTTTGAGGCAAATGGCAGTAAGCTGCCTCAGGCCATTTCAGATTGGGAAAATGATATGGAGGGAAATTCTTGATTCCTGCCTCCTTTCACACTTCCAGTCAGAATGGGGGGCATGATTCTTAAAGAAGGAAAACAGTGAGAGCTCCATTCACAGAACTAACTTAACATAGCATAAGAACATAACATAAGAGAAGCCAATGTTGGATCAGGCCAATGGCCCATCCAGTCCAACACTCTGTCATACAGTGGCCAAAAATACCAAGTGCCATCAGGAGGTCCAGCAGTGGGGCCAGGACACTAGAAGCCCTCCCACTGTCCCCCCCCCCCCAAGCACCAAGTATACAGTGCATCACTTGCCCCAGACTGAGAGTTCCTACCTTGTGGCTAATAGCCACTGATGGACCTTTGCTCCATATGTTTATCTAATTCCCTCTTGAAGCCGTCCATGCTTGTAGCTGCCATCACCTCCAGTGGCAGTGAATTCCATGTGTTAATCACTCTTTTGGTGAAGAAGTACTTCCTTTTATCTGTTCTAACTTGACTGCTTAGCAATTTCATTGAGTTGTGAGTAGCTGAGCCCAGTCATAATCTAGAGAAAAAGCCTTGTGTACTCTGCTATGCATGTAAATACTGCAAGTTCAGTGGCAGAGCACGTCTTGTCTGTGCAAAGGGTACCATCTTCCATCCTTTGCATTTGAACTAGAAAAGATCTCAAGTAATAGGTGCTGAGGAAAGACCTTTCTCTGTCCCAAGACTCTGGAAAGTCAGGCAGAGAGGATTGTACTGTCAGGCAGAGTGGGTTGTACTGAACTCGGGAGACCAGAGGCCTGATAATGCAACTTTGTATGTTCAAATGACTCATAAAATTAGGGAAGGTAGAGGGTTACTCCCCAGAAGCTTAGACAGGCCCAATAATATTTTCCTTTCCCCTAGGAATTGTAGCTCATAAGGTGAGCTAGGAATCTCTTAATTGAGAATTGTCTTTCCCAGGAGTCTTTGGGGAACGCCATGGCAGTTAAACTGGCATAAAGCTTCTACTGGCTGTCTCCTGTGGATGTTCTGCTGGCAGGCAATTCTGAGAGAATTCCCCTTCTCCCAGCATCCTCCTGTGTCCACTGAAAAGGCATTGCAGACAAAAAGCCATGGAGAGGAAACAGCAGTGGCGAGGTGAGAGAGGCCTTTCTCTCTCCCCCATCAGCGGAATGTCTATAGAGTACAGCCCTGTATACGTGTAGTCTGTATGTGCCCTTGCAATGTTCCTGCTTTGAGGTCTGAATTCTGTATTGGCCTTCACTCACAAAGGAAAGCGACACTTCTTTAGTGGGACCTTTTAATCTGCATGAACAGAAGTTCCCAGTAAGTCACTCTGATAGGCTTTGCCTTTGGCTTTTTACCAGGTTCAGCGCAGTAAGAACAGATGGAAGTTCTACCTGAAAGACGGAGTCATGTGCTTCGGGGGAAAGGACTATGTCTTTTCAAAAGCCATTGGAGATGCAGAATGGTGAAGCTGACAAACCACTGACGCAGTTGTTATTATTTTTTGAAAATACACCATGTGTTGTACCCTTTAGTAAGAGTATACTGGAATGTTTGTGTTCTGAAACTTGGAAGTTTAATGATATGAAATCAAACTTCACTTGAACAAAATATGTGGATATTATATAAAAGAAATCCTCTGTCAACAAAGACTGCACATTGACCAGCCTTCCCTGTTTGATTGTTTGTGTGTGTTTAGGGTTAAAAACATGTTTAATCAATCTACAAGTCCTCCCTCCCTCCCTCCGGTAATAACCCTTGATGCAGTAGGGAAGTGGGTAACAGCCTCCCCACCCTAACCTATTAGAAGATTCCATGTGTACTCCAGCATCTTACTGCTGGCTCTCCCAGTCATAAAACCCATTTCTTACACTTTTATTCTGCCCTTCCTCTGGGGAAGAAGAGAAGAAAAGATTGGATTTATACCCCACCCTTCTCTACCCGAAGGAGTCTCAGAGCAGCTTATAATCTCCTTTCCCTTCCCCTCCCCACAACAGACACCCTGTGAGCAATGTTCCCTCTAAGCTGTGGAGTCTTGTGAGCAAAAATTCTACTTTGTGAGCTACTGGCATTAAAGTTGTGAGTGAGCGATTTGGCTGCTGCATAAAGTAGTTTGCTCTGGAGCCATCCTTCTTGAGCTAAGACAAAAATATGTGAGCCGGAGGTTAAAAACCTGTGAGCTAGCTCACACTAACTCAGCTTAGAGGAAACACTGCCTGTGAGGTAGGTGGGGCTCAGGGAGCTCTTTCCAGAACTGCTCACGAGAGAACAGCTCTGAAAAAACTTGTAACTGACCCAAGGTCACACCAGCAGCTGCATGTGGAGAAGTGGGGAATCAAACCTGGTTCTCCCAGATTAGAGTCCACGCTCCTAACTATTACACCAAACTGGCTCTCTTAAGGTGGCATACATGGTTCTCTTCTCCTCCACTTTATCCTCACAACAGCCTTGTGAGTTAGGTTAGGCTGAAAGAGTGACTGGCCCAAGGCCACACAATAAGTTTCATGGCAAGAAGGAACGTGAACCCAGGCTCTGCCCAGTCCAGGGCCAGCACGCTGTTGCTCTGCAGCCATCCAAACACTGTCGCTCTGCAGCCATCCATACGCACACAGAGAAGATGGGGCTATTTGGAGGGGAGAGAGGAGGGCAGTTTTAAGCAGCATTTCCATGGAAACCATTCTTTGTCTACCTTACAGTTTTTTAAAAAAAGGATTAGACAGGTTCATGGAGAAATAATATCAGTGGCTGGTAGCCATAGTGGCTTAAAAGGACCCAGAAAAGCAGTTTACCTCAGATGTTGCGGGTGGCAAACACAAGGGGAAGACCTAGCCCTACTTTTGAGCTGCCCAAAGATGTCCACTGTTGAAGAAGTTATGTTGGAGAACTAAAGGGCTCCTAATCTAAGGTAATGTTTATATTCTTGGTTATTAGCTTGTTCCTCACTCAATAATAATCAGTCCACAGCAAAGGCATCATAGTGACCTTGTCTGCAGTCAGAACATTTGTTTACAGGTAAGTACAAAGCAACGTCTTAGAAAAGATAAAAAGAAGTATTTCTTCATCCAAAGAGTAATTAACCGGTGGATTTCTCTGCTGCAGGAAGTGGTGGTGGCAGCTACAAGCACAGACAGCTTCAAGAGGGGATTAGATAAACATATGGAGCAGAGGTCCATCAGTGGCTATTAGCTACAAGGTATAGATGGAACACTATGTCTGGGGCAGTAATGCTCTATATTCTTGGTGCTTGGGGCTTCTGGAGTTTTGGCCCTCCTAATGGCACCTGGGTTTTGGCCACTGTGTGACACAGAGTGTTGAACTGGATGAGCCATTGGCCTGATCAACATGGCGTCTCTTATGTTCAACAACTTTGGCAACTCTAAAATACTGAACAGCAGCCAATAAGGGGGCCTTGAACACCCAAATCCCTCACTCATGGAAAACCTCACTGCCTGTTCACTGATCCATTCCAGAGCCCATAATGTATAGATCTGAACATAAGAACATAAGAGATGCCAATGTTGGATCAGGCCAGTGGCCCATCCAGTCCAACACTGTCACACAGTGGCCAAAAACACCAGGTGCCATCAGGAGGTCCAGCAGTGGGGCCAGGTCACTAGAAGCCCTCCCACTGTTGCCCCCCCACAAGCACCAAGAATACAGAGCATCACCTGCCCCAGAGATCCTATCTATACCTTGTGGTTAATAGCCACTGATGGACCGCTGCTCCATATGTCTATCTAATTCCCTCTTGAAGCCGTCCATGCTTGTAGCCACCACCACCTCCTGTGGCAGTGAATTCTAAATCTCTTGAGTCTTCAAATGCTTAATGTTTCTTAGGCCTTTTGTGTTGGTTTATCTGGAGAAGGACTGTTCTCACCATGCACCCCTTTGAAAAATAATGGAAAACTAGCCATGATATTCTGCTTTCAAGCTCAGATGGGTGTGTGCCATGCCCAAAGGAGTGAATTAGAAACCCTCCCCCTGCTAAACTACTCCAGTGCATACACACTGCTGCTGTCCTTATCGTGTTGCAATGGTCTGGGCCATTTGCACAGCATAGGTGCCCTCCTCTTCTCCCATCCAGAGGTCTGACCTCTACAGGATCTAAGCGAGCTGGCTGCTCATGTTCCTGTAGTGAACAGGTTGATCAGTAGCTGATGGCTGGAGAGGGAAGAACTTGAGTCCATTTTTGTTTCATGTTTGATTTGGGACATTGTCCACAAATGAATAACCAAGAGTCGTGTGGGAACTGAAAGTTTATGAAATTGATTATGGCTTTTGTGAGCCAGCCTCAGCCCACTATGTTAGCCATCCACCTTTATGTCACAATGCATTACTCTAAAGTTAAAGACTCTCTTGTTTCTGCTGAATACAGCTATTGCTCTGGAATTTGACAGATTTTGACTTGCATGGGCTCACTCCTGCAATCTCAGCTTATTCATTTTTTACTGTGCATTTTTTAAAAAGTACACAGATTTTTAAAAGTGCCATTGTTAGACAATCTATCCCAAAGGACTCTTAACCACTGAGGCTAGCTTAATTAGTCTGGCAAGATGTTTGGCCACTTGTGGTTGACGACTGCCCATCTGGCTGTCTTGCAGCTGCACTGCTGTTCTTGTAGTAGTGGGAAGTATGGGCACAGAAGCAGCTTGATGCAACTGAGCGCAAGCTCTTGCAGTTGCTGAGCTTTTTCATCCGCGTGGAGACATTTCCTTGGAAAGCCCTTTTGAAGACTCCTATATAGCAATGGAGTTCATGAGAGGGAACAAAAGGAGCACCAGATGACATGCTGCCTACATGATAAGTTTTCTCCACAGGGCAAATATTGGCACCCTGGGGCCATTTTCAGAGCCGGAAAACAGCATGGGGTGCTAATCCCCCTCACTCTCTGCAAACTTTGGTCCCAGTCCCAAGTGGGCCATGCTGACCTGGCAATTGACTTCTGAGCTTGGAACTGGAAAATATTTCTGGTGGATCTGAGGTGACCTGTAATTAAGCCTTCACAGTCACAGTCCCACTGAGAGGAATTTTGAAAGAAACTGTGATGGCAAATGCAGGTAAAATCAGTGTAGAAAAGCATGGCAGCTGTCTACTTGGCAGTCTTGGTGGCAATCCTTATGCCTGCTTCCTCCTGAGTTTTGAACATCACAGTAGATTTTTAATGTAAGAAGCATGAAAGATCAGCAAAGCTGTTGCAATCAGTCATGAGATGAGCCATGTGTATGCCTGGCCTGGACAAGTTTCTGTGTTCAGTTGGGAGACAAATTATTATCTTGTTGATTGCTCATGCTAACAAGCTATAGCTGTAAGAACGAAGAATAACCCACCCATAAATTTCCTCTAGGTGCTTAGAAGAAGTATATCTTAGGTACCCGAATTAGGACAAGAATTTGTTCTTAAATAGTCTGGCATTGGTGGTGAACAGTGAAGTGGACAGGTTCGCTGATTACTCCAAATAGATCAGGTTGGTGGAAATGGAAAGTAGCTTGGGAAGAGCTCAGAGGATCCCTCCATACTGAGTAAGTAGGGCAATAATGTGGCAAATCAGGTTCAATGTTACTGGTGTAATAGGTCTGAACTAGCAATGATCTTGGGACTGTAGTGGATAGCTCAAAGAAAATGCCAGCTCAGTGTGTGTGACAGTGAAAAAAAGCAAATCTGGTGTGAGCGATTATTAAGAAATGAATTGGTCATTTTCCTTCAAACAAAATCCTCACATCCTGGAAAATCTACAGCAACTAAAATCCTTATGTATAGATCTATGGTATGGTTGCATTTGGAATACTGGGTAGAGTTCTGGTTCTCTCGAAGGATACTGTAGAGCTGGAAGAGGTGCATAAAAGACACTGAAATGATCAATGTCCCAATGAGGAAAGCCTAACTCATTTGGGGATCTTTTTTGTAAAACAGAGGGGCATGATAGAGATTTAAAACATTACTCATGGTATAGATAAATTGGACAGAAGGCTCCCCCCATATTTCTAGACCTTGGGCTGACCCAATGAAATGAGTTGGCAGTAGATCCTGAACAGATAAAAGAAAGTACTTTTCCACATAATGTATTATTATTATTAAAATTTTTATTGTTTTTCTTTGCATAACAATATAACAGTGTAAGCAGATATAAAATTAACATGTGGTTAAGAAACCAAGCTTTTTAACATACTTACTTACTCATATTTTGTACAGAATCAAGTAAACATTTTTTAAAAAATACTATGTGCGAAGATAGAAACTATTTTCTCTTTGGTAGACTCCAAATATTACCATTGTATGGTGAGTAAAACCACACTGCTTAAACCAATTATTAACAAGTTCATTATCAGTATCAGTGTAGCATTGAATAGATAAACAAAATATCATAATCTTAATTATATATAAAATACTTAAATAATATATATATGTATACAAATAAATAATAATAATTAATAATAATATTAACAACAATAACATCTATAATAATATCAAT